AGGGTATGTTTAATGCTGGAGGGAGCACTAAGTTTTTGGGGAAGAAATAAGATTAATTTGAGAAGAGAATTGAAAGCTGGACTTCCATGAAGGGCCTCAAAAACTACCCATCTCCCTAAAATGTGGCCAAGGGGCACTCAGGGTTGATTGGGCCAAATATAGTTAACCAAAGACTGAAAAAATAAAAATGTGTAAAGTTATTCTCCCCACTGAGTTCAGGCCGCTGTATAAAAAGTTACTTAGCTCATTCACAGTTAAAAGAAGAAAGCCAAACTATAAACATTTTTTGCACAGACTTTGAAGAAAATTGCAGAGTGTCAATACTCTAATTCACATTGAGCATTCTTACAGATCATCTGCTTTGAGAAGCTATATGTACCCCCTGATCACTTTGGAGTATGAAAAGTGGCCTTTTTTTGATACTGGGGATCGAACTCAGGGGTCTTTGTGTTTGCAAGGCAGGTGACTGAACCACTAAGCTAAATCCCTGACCTTTTGAAACTTCTTTAAAATGAGCAGTGCTTACTTCAGTACAAGCTCTTATTAACATATAAAAACACTGAATTAGTCTGGTTTATAAAGTTATATACTTTTATTGTGTTAGAGTTTATACACGTGTAAAGTTGTATATTACAAGTCCAATCGCTCTGAAATTATGAAAATAAAATGTGAATGCCTCACCTTTCTCCCTGTTCATTTTTCAAATTAACCATTATCAATAGTCTCTTTGTCTTTTGAGAAATGTCCCATGTCTATATTTATGTAAACATAGAGATGTGTGGGTATTCTTGTTAGTAAAATGACATTTATAAGATACAGTCTGCTAAAATGATGCTTTTTTAATTGAAAAGCATCTTAGTCTTGCTTTTGCGTCAGTACATACTGATCTTCCTCATTCCTTTTAAGCACTACATGATATTCCCCTTTGTTTTGCCTAATACCTTAACTACATCTCCACTACTGGACTTTACCTTAATTATGTGCTTTTAACACACTCTTGCATAATAATTATTCAGATACATAAGTTTGTCTACTTGTAAAAGAAGAGTCTCATTTAGCTGGGAATTTTCAAACCTATGTTGAAATACTGTTCAGAGTGCAGAGTCCAAAGTATTATGTGACATTAAAAGACTTGAGGAATAATCAGAGATTTTATTATGCTTTTAGCTGATGATGCATAGTTTTAAAACCCTGCTTTCAAATACTCCAAGTTGACCATGTCTAGCAGATGATAGCAGAGTCTGATCAGTGTGTCCGATGGTACCCTGCCCCAAGACGTCATATGCCGAATGTATACAAATGCCTTACTCCACAGAGCTTCTAGCAGAAGTAGGATGATACGTACTATCGCCTCTGCACCGGTGACTCCAAAAGCGAACATAAACAGTGTGACTATTTGGGCTTCTGGTTAACTCAGGCTCCATGGATGACAAAGCAAAGGCCCTGCTGTGAACTTTCATCTTCCATTAGTTTATCATTCTTCAAAGTAATCTCAACCTTTCCTAGTTTATCTGAGGTCAAAATACCTTCTGTTTTAATGAACTGGAGTAAAGGGCAGACAAGCTCCTACTGAGGCCCTGTTGGGGCTGTCCTTAATACCCGAAACCATCTAATTTTTTCCATCTAAGATAAATATTTCCGTCTGTAGAGAACTCTTATTCTATTTAAACCTCCTGTTACCACTACTCCGGCCCACTCTGTCTGGCTGCCCACCTGGGCCTGGAGTAGCCTGTACAAGCACAGCCTTCCCAGGAAGAGAACCACATCGGAAACGGGTTTCATGCAAGGCTGCTTGCACTCAATGGCATAAGCTGAGAAGCCTCCCATCAGAAGCCCCTCTTCTCAGAGGTGTGCCCAAGTAAGCGCACGCGTATGTATAAAAAGACATTTCTGTTTTCAATAAACTGTTTACTGTTCAAACATCAAATAAATGTAGAACTGTTTTAATCAACTGAGCAAATATTTAATGTACACTCTGGCATAAGAGCTACATTTAAAAATATCTACTGTGCTGCTGAAACGTAGGGAATTTGTGGAAACTGGTGACCGAAAAGGTAAAACAAACATTTTGGGGAAGAAGGGGTGAAATTCAAAATTTTTAATTTAAACTTATCTCCTCCCCCTTTTATGAGTGTCCAAGTAGTATTTTACCTCTGAGTCTATGTATGTGTTTAGTCTCAGGAAGTACTGGCTGTATTACAAATATATTTTCTGGAGCAGCTAGTGCTTGAGAGACTAACAAATTAGTTTCCAGTGAATTTCTATGAGAAGGCAAAATACAGCTAAGCTTATTTTCTGTCTATGACTAAATGATTTTTGGCTCCTTAGGATCCAAATACTGGAGGTCATTTAGAACAGGAGTGGCTCAGTTTCTCTTCACAGATGCTGGAAGAAATTGTCTAAAACTCGAACAGAAAATGCTTAGTTCTTAGAAAACATTTAATGGTCAGTAACTTCTGAGTAAATATTGAAAGTTGGTGGAAGATGTAAGAAAAATAACCTCTTACAAAGATACATGGAAAAAGCCTTTGATAAAATGGGTGGCATGATTTATTTTTTTCCCTAATAGCCATTTTAGTGGTATCTGTGGAAAAGAACAAGAAATAAAGGATTCAAAGTGTCTGATCATGGTTTTCAGCTCTTACTGTTGTGTGAGTCCAACTGATTAAATTTGGGAAGCACATTTCTCAAACAGGGCATCTTCTTTGCCTGAATTGACTCAAAAAAGAATTGTAAGAGCACGTGCAGTGCTCAGCTGTCGGTGGTATTTATTTCTCATGCTAGCATTTGGGGGTTGTTTAGATTAGTCAGATGTGAGGACATTGAGTTCAGTGGCCACAGGTTCATCGGCCGTCTCTAGCAGCTACGGCAAAAGGATCTTTAGCAGCAGATTTCTACCAAACAGGTGATGGATGTAGTCAATTGGATTTGGCCTTCAGGGATTTAAACTCATGCCTTCCTTCGTGCAGATTAGTCTCCTTCTGGTTTACAACAGCTATCCATTACATCTAAAACTTGAAAGTTTTGAGTGGCTTTGCTTTCACCATTTCTTTTGGAACATGGCACCGCTTTCATGTTTATTAAGAAAATTTCCTGCCATGGACTCAAAGAGCAGTACTTCAACTGCAGCTGAATTTTCAGTCATATCTGGTTCCTTGTGTCAGAGACAACTCATCCTTGTGTCCATAATCACTGATAAAAGTGTGCTGGGGAAAATAACACTTCAGAGCCTAAGTTCAGCTGTTCATAACCATAATGAAGAGGAAATGGAGGCTGAGAATTAAAAAGAGAAGAAAGGAAAGGAAGCTACTTAGCAATCAGAAGAAATAGTGTTTGTGAGATCATTAGAAACCTATTTGAAGTGCTTTTTCCTAACTAGCTTAAGCAAAAAGGAAGTTGTTAACTGAAGTCAATGAGTACAGCCTTATATCCACATGACATGAAGCAGTTAATGCAACTTAATGCCATAATGAAATGGCTGGAAATTATAAAATGCCTCCTCCAAATTTGGGGCTGTTTTTCCAAGAGGGGCTTTGAAGTCTGTGCTGCCAGACAAAGCTGGCTCTTATGTCAACAAAAAGATGGTGTGTTTGGCAATCAGTGTGTAATCATAATGCAAATATAGCTGCCCTCCTTCTCAATGCCCTCTGAAAAAACTACTGTATTCGAACTGAAAAAAATAGAAAATTAGAATGTTTTCTTGTTGAGTTTCAGGTAGAGCTTCAGCTACAGCAATCTCTGAAGCACTATGAGAAGTGTATGGTATTTCCCAATGTGTTTTACATGCATAATACATAAATATAGAGATAGCAATAAAAAGAGTCTCCAGGCTGATGTGCCTTAATTCAGGCTGTTTTTTCTCTTATGCTTAGGTTGCTATACCTGATCTGAGAGTATAGTATTAACATCTGTCACACTGGTATAGAGTCATTCAAGTTTTCTTCCTCCTCCTCTCTCTGTATGTAATGTATGGGTATGGTATTAACATACCAGCCACTTAATGAGGGCTTGCCTGGTCAGAATGAGCACCTTACAGGTAGATTTCTCATGTGCTTTTCAGGCCTTGGACTTTTGCATGCCAGCCTAGAAAATAGAATTTAGTTCTATTCAATCTTTACAATAGTAATTTTCCCGGCTCTAAAATTCATTGCAAAACAATAACTTCTTCAGGGTTTCTTCTTTTATTTAGTGTTATCATTTCACTTTCTTTGCAGTCCGCAAGCCATCGGTGTAAGCCAGCCCACTCTGTTATCATTATCAATGTTATTTCCCTAGGTTTCTTCTGTTTAATCAGCCTTGAATTTGACATGGTAGGGGCACAAAGATGGATCTGGTATGGGGGTTCTTCATAGTCTCTCCTTTTGGGGCAGAGGGCAGGCTTGTCCTGAAAGACCTGCAGCTCATCTAGGCCACTCAGAGGACTGAGAACGCTGTGTCCACTGTGCAAACACAAGAACCACAGGGCAGGTTGGGAGAGCAAAGCAACCTGACTGGCTGCCTTACCAGCTTCTTATTTACAGCCCAACCTGCCACAGACAGAGCTATTCCTCTTGACATTCCACACGTTCCCACAACATGCCCTGTAAGCTGTATAAATAACAGCGATTTCCCAGGACTGTCTCAGAAAGACCAGGTGACTCTACTAGGCCCAGGAGGTCTCTCTGGTTGTCCCTGCACTGACCCTGCAGAGCCAAACCTGCACATTGCTAATGTTCAGGCTGACTCAATAGCAGCCCCACTGTCCAAACAGTGGGGCTCTGGTTAGAACCAAGCCTCACCACATGCTGGTAAACACCAATAAAACGTCCCACGCAGTCCTCTCTCTGGAAGGCCAGTGCGAGGCTAGGGGTCAGTGGTCAGGAGGAATCTCACCGAACAAATGGAAGCTGTGTTTGCTCCACTGTGAAACACAAGCAGCGCCCGTCCCAGGGAGGGTTTGCTGTGTCATCCAAAATAAATGGACAGGGGTGAGTGTGCTGGGCAGACTGTGTTCTGACTTCAAAGGGGCCTCACGGCTGTGGCTGGAGAGAGACTCCTTCAGGCCTCCCCCCACAAGGAGCGCACTCATGAACATGCCACTTCTGGATGAGTTCTCTTTATCTGCTTAGGAGTGTTCGACAGCACAGCACTTCTGTTTATTTTCTGCTGAGGTTAAACAGATGCACAGGTCTGTTAGGCCACAGGGCCTAGTTCAAGATGAAGCAGGAAGACGGATGTGGTAGGTGTCATGTTAACATGAGGACAGTGGATTTGCCTGCTTTTGGTACTTGCATTCATATTTCACTTTGATTTATGTCTCAGTCTTCCCAGTGGCCAAATTATACTTTCTTTCAGCTTTAATCTGAAGCCAAGAGGTCCTCTGCTCTACAGACAGTGATGTAGTCTCCAGAAATTGGCCATGATCTCAAAAATCATCATTTCTTCGCTAAATAGTATCACGTCTGTAAGTTTTAATTTTCTCACACCGTGATTTGGTTGTAAAAGGTTGTAAAGCAAAAGAAGAAAGAGTTGAGGGGCTGTAAGCTGGGAAAAATGCAGATGTTGGCTTGATCATTATTATTTATACATTTTTCCATTTAGTTTATTGGTACATTTAAAGTGAATAATACAGTTACAGTTATCATTTGGATCTTGTATCTTTACGTGATGTATCTTGGTTCTTGTTTTTTCCCCACACCCCTGCCCTCCCTTCACCCCCTTCACCCTTCCCTATTTACAAAGACTTTGTTTCCATTTTTTTTCTTTTCCTTTATTTCCTTTCCCCTACCCTTCCCACTTCCCCTTTTAGAGAGGGTGAAATAGGAAGAAATGGCTAAAGGGCATCGTTATTATTTACACATTTTTAAAGTTTGAAGTTCACTTGAGCCACCTTGATTCCCTCAATCTTTCTGTTTGCCTGGCATCATAGTGAACAAATCTTCCCCCCAAATAGAAAATCCTCACATTTTCTGGAAAAAAAAAGATTTAAATTTAGATATTTTACAGCTCTGCTTTCAGAATGAAATGCAATAAAAATTGAAGATGCTTTAGTTTGCAGACTTTTCAAGATCATTTTTTTCTCCTTGTGTAAAATACGATTTTTACAGGCATTAGTGGTCTTACATCAATTTTCGAAATGTATAGGGTATAAAATATAAACAGATTAGATTAGTGATTTGGTGAAAGCTCTGATTCAAAGTGTCTATGAAGTGTGCCCAGATAACATTACCTTAGACTCTGCCCTTGGACAGCAAGAATTCCAACAGGGGCACAAAACTCTTCTATGAGACACTGGGCAACTGAATTATTGCACATGAATTTCTATGTTCAAGATCATGTCATAAACCTAACTCTAAGGGCTCGATTCTGTCTGAAGATCCCAAGAACAGACATCAACATTGCACAGGTTCAGACTGATCCAGGCTTCCAACCTCTTTAAGCCCTGACCTCTCCCTACACTAAAGTAATTTATCTCAGAAAGCAGCAAGAGTTAGAGTTTTCTGTAATTTCCCTAACCTCCATTTCTTGTCAGGTAGCAGTTTCATCCACACTCTGATTATACTGCACTATTACCTTACGTACAGATTTTATAAGAGAGAACTGTATACATTTGAGAACCACCTTAGGTAGAATCTATATCTAAGTCAGCTTTATACAATGAAAAAGCAGCACTTATTTGTTGCACTATTTTTCACTTAACGAAACACTGTGAATTAATGTTTACTGACTGGTATTTTTGTTTTGTTCACTTTTAAGATTTGTGACTATAATAAACATGTATCTATCTTCCACCAATAAATATTATAATGGTGCATGCATAATGGGACCTAATCATTTTTCAAAATTAGATATTCTAATTTCAATATAGACAAGAAATTGTGTGTGTGTGTGTGTGTGTGTGTGTGTGTGCAACGGATTCTACACCAGAGCAGCAATATTTTAAATCTGTGATTAAGTATATGCTCAAAGGATATATGCATACCCTACATATATGCATATCATACAGAGACAAGGAGAGAGCACCTATATAAATGTTTGTATAAAAATTCCAAATCTAATTTTGAAGTAGATGGATACATATTGAGGATATACTCCTAAGTGAAATAAATAAGTCACACATGTGTAAATGCTGAATAGTTTCTCTGGCGTGAATAAACTGCAATAATACATAAGATCCTAATAAGATTACTGACATTGTGAAATGGGAAGAAAGGGGCTAAAGGTGTAGGGAAGGTGGGACGGGTAGGGGAAGGGTAATAAGGGAAAAGAAAAAAATGTGTGATAATGAAAAGAAGAAAATAAAGTGTAGATGGGCAGGGGAGGAAGGGGTGAAGGGAGGGCAGGGACAAGGGGAGAAAATGAGAACCAAGACCTGTTGTGTAAAGGTACAGGATCCCAACAATGAATGTAACTGTACTGTATACCTAAAATGTACCAATAAACTCAATTAAAGCTGAAAAAAATGAAGATATAAGCAATGTTAGCCTTTTAAAAATAAGTCAAAAGATATTTTTATGGATAAATTATTTCTAGATTATTAAAGAAAATGTTACACAGCTTTAGTGAGAAGTAAATTAATATGCATAAAATCCCACATTTTAAAGTTATGATCTTTGCTGAGGAAATTCCCTCTGATAACATGATTCATCCTATTTATTTACAGCCACCAGGGTTGTACTAGTGAAAGATGAACATCCATGTATTCATTCAACATGAGCCAGGTCCTAGAAGACTGTCTAGTCTGGTGAAGAATATGAGAATAGAAACAATAACTGCATGTAGGTGATCAGTTCCATAACAGAGGCTTGTTGGAGGGATTATGGGACAGAGAGGAGAAGAGACAACTGGGGAAATTATCACAGAGGTGGTGTTCTCTGAGCTCAGATTTGAGGTATAAGAAACTCTTACGCAAATAAGGACTAAAAGGTGTAATAGATAGTGAGAAATAGGAAGAAAAGGTTCAAAGGGGAAAGGGAAGTGGGAGGGGTAGGGGAAAAGAAAGAAGAGAATGGGATTAATGTAATAAAACGAAAAATGGAAACAAAGTCTTTGTAAATGGCCAGAGGTGAAGGGGTTGAAGGGAGGTCAAGGGAATGGGGAAAAAATAAGAACCAAGATGGATTATGTAAAGGTGCAAATTTCCAAGGATGAATGTCATATTGTATGCTTTAAGTGTACCAATAAAATTATTTTTTAAAAAAAGAAAATCTTATACAAAAAATACACCAAATCTCAAGTACAGACAGGTTGGGGCTTGATGTCGATGATTTTCTTCTTTCTCCTAATATTCTTTGAAGTTGTAGGTTGTAGTTGTTAAAATTATCCTAATCTATAAAATTCAACTTTGCCAATCACATTCTATAATTAAAATTTCCTTATAGCAGATACAAAGCTTGAGACACAATCACTGAAAACACTGAATGATAACCTGGCTTCATTCATAAAAATGTACTGCTTAGAAAAATGGTTGTGATTCTAATCTCTCCCCTGTGTGCTTAGATACACCTGGTATGTTGTTTTTAGCTTTGGGTACCGCATTCTTCTCATCAAGACAGGAGTACAGGTAAGATGAGGGCGAGACAACAGTGGATCTGGAGTTTTACACGTAAAAGTCAGTAGGAAGAACTATGTATGTTTAACTTAAAATGAAAGAAAGCACTTCTGGCTGCTTATGATGTAAAACCTGTCATGTGGAAAATAAATGAAGCTTAACCCAAATATTTCCAATTGACACACTCAAGACTAGATAACAGGCATTGCAGGACAGTAAAATCTGGCTCAATTTTGGGGAAATACTTTTCAGTTTTCACACGCTCTCTATCAACTTTAGAGCAGACAAATCTGACGGGGTCTTGGTGAAATATATTCAAGTCATGCATTTGGCTGGTCAGATATAGAAAAGAGTTTGTTGCAAATGCTGAGATTTTATGATCTTATAATAGCCAATATGATCTGAATTTTTGAGGGTTTTTTTGTGTGTTTTTATTTAGTAATGTTTTCCCCAGCCTAATAGAAAATTCATAAAAAGAGATCAGGTAGGTAATCAAAACTTTGCACACTAAATGTTGTATGTAGTATCTCATTATACATATACAAATAGGAACATATTGGTGAGTTGACTAATAGTCACTTCTTAATATATGTACTGTGAATAAAGGCAAGAAATTGTCTTCATACTAATTTCCAGCTTTGAAAATTGCCTATAGGTCTGGAATAGAAGTGGAACCCTTGCAAAGATCAGAAGGCTATGTCCCTACAGCAAGAAAATTGATACCATGAAACAGCAATTCTCTTTGAAGCTCAGAGAAGAAGTCCACTGAGGAAAGTTAAACACAGAAAAGTCAAAATTGGCCAAGAGTGTGTGGGCGGGGATAAGTCAGCATCTGTAACCATTTCCAGCAAAAGCTTAATTTTTAGCAGTGGAGAGTTGTCAAAAGAACTAATGAAGTCGTGTTTTCCTTCCCCAAACCTCCTGTCCTAAATGGCTCGCATGGTAACTGGTTAGTTGGGTCAGAGGCACTCACAGGCCAAAGGCCGTTTGTCCAAGCATCTGTAGAGTACATGGACTGAATTACTCTTGGACACAACCCAACGGCGCAGTGTGGGACAGAGTTGGCTGGGCTTAGTTTCATAACAATAATCAAACATTCACAGCAGCTGAGAATAAACTTTGCAAACACACTTTTATAAAGGAGCCTATTAGTCTGAGATTTCATTTACAAAATCATCTGGACAAACACTCCTGGAACAAACACTTCCCTACCCCCAGGGACCCCAATCTGGTTTTTTAATTCACATAACATATAATTAATCATTTTAAAGTGAACGATCCAGCAATATGTAGTACATGCACAATGTTAAATAATCACTGTGTTTACTTAGTTCCACAACATTTAATTCACACCCAAAAGAGGCCCCGTTCCTTTTAAGCAGAAAACTCCCCAACTCCCTGCCTCCTCCCATCCCTAGCAGCCACTTACCTGTTTTGCATCTCTATAGATTACCTATTTTGAATATTTCATGAAGTGGAATAATGCAGGGTCTGATCTTCCTTTTATTTGACAAATAATTTAAAGACTAAAACAGAGTTTACGTGTTGTCTAAATCATTCTTTACTTTGGGATTCAAAATATAGTTTTGGATTTCAATAACTGCACTCTCTATGGCTCTCCAGAAAGGGCATTTACTCCCCTCCTATAACTTCATTTTCACAATAATTGTATACAGTGGGCCAGGATCACTTTACTAGTAGCAGTTCAAAGTGAAGGTATACCGAGGGAGGAGAGTTGATTCAGTGCTCCACAGTGAAGTCATCCAAGGCACTCTGCTGTCTTTGATGCATGTCTCTTCTGCCTGCATTGCAAGGGGCCCACCAGAGTGCTTACTTGCACATCTAGCAAAGCCTTCAAACACTCAGGAGATATCCTAATACAGCTTGACATCTGTAATTTTTAAATTTCAAAAGTATATGTTAAATGATCAGAATGAATGCAAAAAATTTTGAGTGTTTCATTGCTATTTTTTACTCAGTAGAAAACTGGTTTTTGTGTGTGTTTTTTGTTTTGTTTTGTTTTTTTCCGTACCGGGGATGGAACTCAGGTCCTTGCGCTTGCCAGGCAGGCAGTAGAACCACTGAGCTAAATCCCTGGAAACTTGAGAACTGTTTTTGATGCATAATGGTCACATATGACTCAAACAGGCAAAACTAGGCTCTCTACCAAGGCCAAGTCTCCACTTGGAGTCAGCTCAGTCTTTGGGTGCTATCTGGATGTCTTTGTTATAGCATTTGAACATAAATGATCCCCCAAGTCTGTTCCTGATCAAAATCCTATAATTCTTAGCTAAGCCTCATCTCAAATTCAACACTGAACTCATCTGCTCCACCTACACAGGGTAATTTCAATACAATTGTTTGAAAGATGGGTCGATCAAAATTTGTTTCTCCTACTATGTGCCAATGGCCCATCTATTTTACTAAAACTTTTCAAGAAATTGTAAAGTTCTTTATGAAACGAATTGTCCTATATGGATTTTATTGACTCGATGGTTTATATGTGAATAGACCATTTACAGAGAGGCTTAGTAATGTCATGGTAATGTAATGCCATATTCTTTACCTTCTTGTTGTAAAGCAGTATCTCATTTTACAGCAGCACTGTCCCCATTTAGCTTTATGAATTTTACAGAGCCATATTAGACGGACTGTCACACAGCATTTTTAGCACATTCATAGACATATGTTATTTCCATCCCGTCCTCAAACCCAATCTTTTATTTTCCATTCAACCAAAAATTAATATCTGAATCTTGTTATGCCCCCTCCCTTGATTTTCCTGGGTTGTTTTATTTTTAGCTGTGGTTCCGCAATTCACCCAGAACTGGGGAGTAGTCAAATTCAGCAGGGCTAGACTGCCATCTAGAGACCAGAGTTTGAGTTCCAACATCTTGGTCCTCAGTGAGCTTGCTCTTTATCTACCAAATGAAGAAAATGCACTTCAATGAAGGGATGGGGATGCTGTGCAATTCTAGAAAGATACAGTGAAATGCCAAGAACTTGAGGAGGCCTGGCTTATAAAATCCTTCTGCCACTGAAGGTTAGCTGACCACCAGAGACATTAATGGCATGGAGGCTGAATCCTGGCCCATCCTTGCTCAGAAATGGGCTGTTAGACTTGAAATTTGAAGCAGAATACTATTTTCTGGAAGCGACAAATGCTTTGCAGGCTGGTTGGGATTTGTAAGCTTGTAATATCTCCCAGAAAGGAGAGAGTCCTTCTTTAGGGCAGTGAAGACTGCAGAAGTCTTTCACTGTATGTGAGAATCCAATTTCTGTCTTCTTCATAAACTCAAACTTACCTTCCATTTTTCTGCTCAAGCATAACTTAGCTAACATATCCTGGGCACATCTGATAGCATCACCTGTTTATTGCACCACAGCTTAGAAGGTCCAGGAGCCCCCAAATGGATGGAATTTGGATCTGAAGATCATATTGTTCCTAGCATTTTCATAGGAAGTACACAGTGAAAATTCCTCTTCCTCTTGTTCCCTAAACTGTCATTCAAGGCCATGTGCTAAGACCATCTGTTCCAATAGACTGCCTTTTGATAGCTGTGATGACAGGCTGGAGAGGTGTAAAGCTTAGCCTGAGGTAGCTGAGATTAATTAACTGCATGTCCATTTGATAACTGTGCCCAGAACTTCAACTCCAGGAATGTTTTAGAAAGGAAAAATAACATCTATTATTGTTAACCTCAACATCATAGGCAAAAAGAGTACCCTCTTTGCTGGAACTGACTAAATGATCCAATCTATCCAACAGAATGCCACACACGAATATTTCATCTAATTGTAAAAGAAATTTAAATATCTGTATTACCTTGTTTTCACCTTTTGGTCTCTTTTATTCCCTACTTTGGCCTCATGCAAAAGACAAACCTTGAAAGATTTTTATAAATCCAGGATGAAGTATGTCATATAGAATGTTCTGATTATACCTTTTTTTGGCTAGAATTCACAAAATTCAGGAACTCTTAAAGCTGATATTACTTTTGTTGCAGATATTAAATGGGCTTTGAAAAACAGACACTTGAGTCTGGTGTGTCAGAAAAACAAGTACCTGAGCTATGGATCTCTGCTCTTTTACTCAGCCGAGGGTTTGTGGAAGGTTCAGTCTGTACATTTGTGAAAAATGAGAAAATCAACAGGGATACTAATTATGCAGATTCAATACAAAAGCTTTTCAAAGTGCCCCATACATAGCAGGTACTTAACAAATGCTCTTGTGCTTTCTTTCCTTGAAGGTCTTGCATCTGCCTTTCTTACTCCAGCGGTGTTCAACAGCTGAAAGGAAGGATGTCAGTAATATTTGTTTTCATAATTCAGCTTCATCTCTGAAAAGCTAAGCCTTCTAAAACAATGCTTCTTGGGCTTGAATGTGTATATAAATCACCTGGGGATTTTGTTAAAATGCAGACCTTGTAAGATAGGACTAGGGCTTGCAATTTCACATTTCTAAGAAGCTCCCAAGGGATATTGCTGGTTTAGGGACCACTGTTTGAGCAGCAAGACCCCTACACAAGGTCAGTACACGAATGGACTTTCCGTGTCGATGAGTAAAGTTGTATTGGAACACAGCCACACCCACGCATTCACATATCTTCGGTGGCTACTTTCTTGCTACTGCAGGGATGATTTACTATCTGTCCTTATGGCTTACTGACTCCTGCTCTAAACCATTCCCTGTTCCATTCCAGACATAAATTAAGTAAACCACTGGCAGCAGGGAATACTTGGAGGACTGGGAGGTGCGTCAGAAGGACAGCATAAGAGGGGCTGGTGACCTGTGTTAGCGCCTGGTTGCTGCTATTTCAATTTGTCACAAATTTAGTTGATTCAAACATCACGCATTTAGAATCTTATAGCCCTAAGTTAGAAATCCAACAGAACTCTCCCTGATGTAAATCCAAGGCTTTGACAGATTTTATTCTTCTCAGGAAATTTCAGGGGAGAAATGTTTATTTTCTGGGGTTTTCAGCTCCCAATGCTGCTGCAGTCCCTAGCCCAAGGTCCTTTCCTCTTTCTTCCAAGCCCACGGGGTAGCATTTCTCTGACTCTTCTTTTGCGCTCTCTCTCTCTCTCTCTCTCTCTCTCTCTCTCTCGCTCCACTCCCCCCCTTCATCACCCATCTCTGCCACCCCCCCACACTGGGGAAAGTTCGCTGCTCGAAAGAACTCATGATTAAATGAGTCTCATCCAGATAATACAGACAGATTTCCCTTCCCATAATCTTTAGTAACATTTTTCCACGTAGGGGGCCATATCTACAGGTTGTGAGGATTAGGGCTTGGATATCTTTGAGGATTTTTCCTACAACACTACCTCAAGGCACCTTATTAAAAATTAATTATATAATCATTTCTCATATGTAACATGTTGACAACTATAAGAAAATATTCAATAAATATAGATGAGAAAAAGACCGTGACACATTTAGGGAAGCGAGTCAAAGTGGTCAAAGCGTTTTGCATTTTGTGTGCTTCTTCTCTCACCCCTCAAGCACACAGGACTTACTCCCCGAGTTCACCTTGAACATGTGCCCGGGTAGTACACTGCGCAACACCAGAGAATGCCCTAAAGTTGCTCAGGACACAGAGTTAACAACCAGACACAACATCTCTGCTCTACTTATCCAAGCTTCTCGGTACCTAGATCAGAATTTGTCTACACATCCAGTTTGGGAAGGAAGAATGCTGACCCATGGCACGAGGGCAAGAAAGCAGAAAATGGAACGAAGGGAAGACAAAGGCGCTCGTGGAGGAATTGCTTCGTAGTTGCAGTATAGCCCGAAAAGGAAGGTTTCATTGATGAACCCCTGACCACCACCTGCTAGGCTGTTATGTTTAACCCTTCATATTTTTGAGTATGTCCTGCTACTCCATAAATAGCTTATTACATAAGCTTTTTTCACTCTCCTAAGCTCATTCTCTTCAACAATGCCAGAAATATAATACCAGGTAAGTGACCAAGAAAATATATGTGACCCAACCTTTGTAAGAGATTTCATTTTGCTAAAGGTCAAGACAAATTATCATGAAATCCTTAGAGACATTGTTGCATGGTTGCTGGGGACAAAAGGCTTCCCTTCAGAAGAGCTTCTTAGAAGCAAAGGATTTC